GGGCAGAGGGCGGACGCTCGGCTGCCGCAGCGGATCCTGACCACCGGAGGTCCCCAGAGGCGTCCGGAGGCCAAAGCGGCGCAAGAGACCGTCGAAGCTCGGCCCGAGGTGCCAGAAGACTTGACTTCCCTCGCCGAGCCTCGAGGGTCGGGGGCAAGGTTGGCCAGCCGACGCGGGCCAAGCCGAGGAGAAGACGCAGAGGGAAGGGCCAGGCGCGCGCAGCCTCGGCACTTGGGCGGAGAGGGTGCTGGCCAGGACTGCCTGCGCTTCCTGTCGCACCACTGCCGCAACGCGAGGCACTCCGACTCCTGCAAGCGCTGCTGCCGCGCTGATGTCCGTCCTTCTCCTCTTCGCGGGGGCGGTGAAGAGGGGGGGGGGGGGGGGGCGATGCGTATGGGGGGGCATATCACGGCCAGGGCCATGATATCTCCCCGGATTTCTTGTCCCCCCCCCTGCTTGTTTCAGTACATGCCTTGTCCCCGCCCGAGGCCGCGCACGTGCCTCGGGCCATGACTTGCTAAGCCCCTCTCATCTTCCTTCATTCCTGAACCCTCCAGTGTTACAAAGCCGCTGCCAAGAGTGGCACGCCTCCCAGCGAGCCCGTCCAGTTCGGACCTAGGGGAGGCTCGCCAAGGGTGCTACTAATATCTTCCATCCTTCTTCCTTAAAGATATGTCCTCCTCGCCGCACCACGAGACGCCTCAGTAGGGCGGGCCGTGAGTTCCCGTTGATATTGCCTCACAATGTGTCAGAAGCTTGAAGTTTCCAAAATCTACACGGATTGATATGCCTTCGTGCCGCGCACATGTGTCGTAAAAGTTCGGTACGTTCACAGTAATGGAGGGCAGGTCGTTTCCGCTCTCGCCTCTGCGACACGCACGTTAGTCGCAACAGCTTCTCACATATACAAGGATTGGGGGCGGGTCGTTTTCAAAATGTTGTTCTCTCCCCAGTGCCGTTAACATTCCTTCTCAAAGCTTCAAACAGCTACAAGGATATAGGGCGGCTCCTTTTCAAAACGAGGCTCTCGCTTGAGAGTTGGCTACATTGATGACCAAAGGTCTGTACTGTGCGCCAATTACACGGGGAGGTCGGCTCCTTTTCGAGACGGAATTATCGCTTGATATGTTTGCGAGCTTTATTTCTAGCAGCGCAGAAATGTGCAACAGTTACACGGATGGATGGATTGCGGTTCGTTCTCAAAGTGGAGGTATGTTTTGAATGGCATGCCCATGGGCGTCTCGTCCTACAAGGGGGGCTTCCGAAGTAAATAGAAACGTAGGGATTCATGGTGAGGGATCTTGGGACAGGGCGGAGCATTGCAGCCTCGCTGATGCACCTTGAGTTTGCTCTGGTCCTCCTCCTCTCTCCTTCCGCCTCCTCCGCCTTCCTCCCCGTTTGCCCCCCAACCCCCTTGGTCATCCTCGATCTCCTCGTCTTCCCCGTCCTTCGAATCCCCTTGCATCTCCGATCGGGCCACAGCTCGTCAAAGCGCAGCCACGGGCCCCGTCGCCGCCGCGGATGCTGCAAGGCCAGCACCGCTCGGGACCCACACGAGGGCGCCGAGTCCGTCGGGGCGCCGGCCACTGGTCGGGGATGGCCTCGGCTCCCGCGCGGCGCTCGGCCTCCGCCAGCGCTCGGTGTCTTCCGCGCGCGCACAGGGCCGACCTGGACTCCTGAGCGGCAGGGCTGACGCCTGGGCGCCGGCAGCCCCAGTCTGCAGGGCTGCCGGTGACCTTCTGGAGAGCAGGGGTGCTGTCTCTGTGCCCTGGCCGTGCGGGCCTCCCGTTTCGGGTGCCACGTTTCTTGTTCGGGGGGTCGCGCGGGAGGCGAGCGGTCCCCTTCTGTGTCGAAAGTCCGGGGCCTGGGCCTGGGCGTCGAGTGTGCCGGAGATTTAATGTTCCTGGCTCAAACCGCGCAGCGCGTTGTGCCAGGCTGCCGTTGGACGGACAGCATTCGGAGATGTGGTTGGTTATTTCAGTTGGTAGAGTCTGGACCGAATTGCGAAGGAAGGAGGCAGGGTATGACACCCCTGAATTTTGCACGAGATGTTCCCAGCAAGTTGCGGAGACAGCTCTTCACAGATATTGGCAATGCCCGTGCAATCAAGGTTCAACTATTTTCGAGTTGACGGAGGATTTGTGTCATCGATGAGGTTTACCGAGGGTTTTGGGCAAAGAAGTTCGATATCCCTGCAGGTTCCAACGCGGACATCTGGAGGAGGATCAAGGTACATCTTGTTTGCAGGTCATTCGGGGGAATATGTTGTCATGGAAGTACAGTCGCATCTAGATGGTCAGGAAGTGATTGATCGAAATGTACCTTCGTGGCTTGTATCTGGAAACGCGTACGTTGATGAACTGGCAGGTGTTGCGACCAGATCGGCCCGTATCCCTGAGGCTCAGCGAACCAGACTTTACCTGATTGAGAATGAAGCGAGATTGATTCGCATGCGCCTCCTTTGGATCACCTTGGAGATTGCCGTTGGGATCTGAGGCTCGCGCCCCGCCGCTCCCCACTGAGGCTGTCCAAGCTCTTGTCTGTTTCTCTCATTATGTTTCTAGTTGAGGAAAACATGCACTGTGTGTGTAAGAGCTCGGCCACGGCTCCGAACGTTGCCAATTGGTCGGAGACCCCTTGTGTTCCTTTGAGGTTTTCCAGTGCGCAGGTTTGCCAGCTGGTCGGGTCTTGTATCCCGTTGCAGGGGTAGTACATGGTTCCCTTAAGATAAGACCTCACGAGTCTTTGGGGATCTGGTTCGGTGGGGGGTGCGGGTGCATAGGGCAGCCCCAGCTACGGAAGTTGGCGGGTCCATGTTCTCCCATCACACCCACGGGCAGAGAGTGCTTTCGGCGTTTAAAGAGAGAGGGGGAAAGAGAGAGAGAGAGAGATTGTTGTCCTAAAGTGCTCAGAAAGGCTGAGCGGGCGGCCTGGGCTAAAGTACGCATAGACTCGCTTCGCGACCGCTCTCATCGCCTCCCTTCTCCCTCTCCCTCCTCCTCATCATCATCAGAATTCCCCCTCCTTCTCCTCAGTTATCATTCCTCCGCGCCCTCTTCCTCCACCTCCAGATCCTTCCCCTCATCCGCCCTCCTCCCTCTCCCCCCTTCTGTTCCTCCCTTCTCATTATATGGATAGCTCCCTCCTGTCGCACCCCCAGTTGTGTGTCGGCACGGCGGGCTGGGCGTTTCGTTGCAGACTTCTTCGCCGATGACGACCTTGAAGCTTACATGTCACAGCATATGCACAGATGGAGGGGCGGTTTTCAAAATGCGTTTCTCACCTCAGCGGCGCGAGCATGCTTCACTAAAGCACGCGACGCTTGCCAAGCGGCGCGGAGAGAGATCGTGTTCAGAGCGCGACTCTTCTATTGTGTGGCGCCGCGACCGTTAGTTTCAGGCAGCCTGCAACGTTTGCACGGATAGAGGGCGGCGCCTTGTCAAAATGTGATCTCGCCGCTGAAATCTAAGTACTTATACGTATAGATTTGTGTGTATACAGATGTGCTATATATAACAAAGAGCACCACATAAACAAACCAAACAACCACAGCAAAAAAAAGTTATATACCCCAAAAAAAAAGGAAACGACAAAAAAAAAAAAAAAAAAAAAAAAAAAAAAAAAAAAAAAAAAAAAAAAAAAAAAAAAAAAAAAAAAAAAAAAAAAAAAAAAAAAAAAAAAAAAAAAAAAAAAAAAAAAAAAAAAAAAAAAAAAAAAAAAAAAAAAAAAAAAAAAAACGCTCCAGGGACGGAGGGCGGCTCGTTCTCAAGATGTGGCGCTCGCCTTCTCGCCGCGCGCATTCGTCCTCGCGTCCTGCAAGAGCTCCGGGAACGTGTGGCGCGGCTCCTTGTTCAGAAGTACTGTCGCCTCGCGCACAACCAACATCCGTTTGTGATGCCGCCCGTGCCATTTCGGCCGCGTTGAGCCCAGTTCCGCTCTGAGCCGGGCGCCGCTCGCTTCGCTGCTTTTCCCTTTGTTTCGGCGCGGCCCGCCTCAGCTTGCACGGCCTTCGGCTCGTCTTCGCGCGCCTGCTTGCCAAAAACAACTAGCACCAACAGCCCATCCAGAAACCATTGCCAGGGGCGTTGCTAGAGTGAGGGCGAAGTATCAGCATGCAGTGGAAAAGGGCCGCCGCGGAAGCGTCTTAGGGGCGCAGAAGCGGTGGGAGCATTTGCGGAATCGTATGACCAGTTGTCCCCTGCTGCCCCAGCTTTGTTTGCTTGATTACTCCGGGGTGAGTTCTTGGAGTTATCTTACGTGTCGTGACGGATCTGGCGGAGCTAGATGCGCAGGCGGGGGAGGAGGAGGAGGAGGAGGAGGAGGAGGCGGAGGAGGAGGAGGAGGAGGAGGAGAAGGAGCGCGGCACGAGCTTTGAGCGTTCAAGGGGGGGGGCTGAATTTCGTACACCCATCTTTTTGAACAGTGGGGGTCAAGGCTCCCTAACCGGCAAAAGAGGTGTCCAGGGTCTTTGCAAGGGGATGGGGACCCTGCAAAGACCTTGC